AAATGATTTAAAGTGCGCAAGTTTTGAATATATTTGACTATAAAATAGTCAGATATAATATTTAAAAAATTATAACAATTATTTGGAATAGAAGTAGTTTAAGGAAATTGTGAGCAAATTTTGAAATTCTAGAGTTTTTTATATTTTCCCCTGACTTTTCCTGATTTTCCTGATTTTCCAGATCTGTGGCAACTCTGGTGTGCGTGCGTGCGTGCATGTGTGCGTGCGTGCGTGCGTGCATGTGTGCGTGCGTGCATGTGTGCGTGCGTGCATGTGTGTGTGTGTGTGTGTGTGTGTGTGTGTGTGTGTATGCGTGCGTGCGTACGTGCGTGACATTTGCAATCTTGAAACATATACGCTAAACAACTGTATGCGTACTTACAAGTGAAATACTGAGCGTAACACCTTTCACCAGTTGAAATCGTAATTCTTTGCATATGACGCCGTACCGGAAAAAAATATAAATTAATCTCGATAACTGTAATTACTGTGTGTGTGTGTGTGTGTGTGTGTGTGTGTGTGTGTCCATTTTAATCCACTTAGCAAAATTAGAATTTATGATAATCAGTTATACTATACATGAATCTTCACTTTGCATATTCTTATTAAGCTAAATTAGTCTCTCAATGTAAAAAAAGATATTAATATGTACGCAAACTATATAAAAATAAATATGAATGTCCGTGTTTTATATAATTATAATGATTCTTGAATGAAAAAAACATGACTGAAAAAACATGCCACTAAATCAAATACACGTGAATAGATTAATGTTAGATTAATTGTTAAATAATAAAATATATTTTTGTTAGAGAGAGAGTTAGAGAGAGAGATAGAGAGAGGGGGGGGGATTCAATTGTCACATTTGTTTATGCTTATTCTCGATTCCTATTGATATTTGAATTTTTTACGAAGTTGCGGACTTGATCGCGTAGTAAAGGATAGAAATCATTAAGTTGGAAGATTTGACGGCTCTTTCCATGTGCAAACATCGTGCGAGGTAGTGAATGCGGAAGAGCTTAGTGGAATTTGTGCAAATATCCTGATTTGCATATGCTTCACAGTACACAGATAGGAGAAAACGTGTTTTGTAATTATGATTCAAATAACAAATCGCATGATTTAAACGAATAACTATGAACTGCTGAGATGTCACTAATTTTGTCATGAAAAAAAAAACTTTAGAATTTTAGTTTACTTTACTTTTTATTTTACTTTACTATTTTAGTATTAAGCTGTTTTAATAAATCATGTATATATAATAAAACATACACACGCGTATCATTTTAATCAATGATATATGTAAATTGTAAAAATTATAAGCAAAAAAAAGAATCTAATATTAACGGAAGTATATTAGATTATTACGCAAATCTGAAATAATAAGTTATGCATTTTAAAATGCATAACTTGCTTCAATGTCGTTAGGTCAGATACATTAGAATAAATCACAAAAATAGTTAATCGTATAAAATTGCTTTCATGATTAGATTGTAATTTTCCAACATTAAAAATACAACTACAACTATAACTATCGGCCTTCTATTTAGTGACGTACGAAATAAATACATGCAAAAGATGACTAACAATGTATAGATTAACATTGCAGAAATATGTCGAGACGTATTTCTGCAATGTTAATCTATACATTATTAGATAAGAGATGCAGTACGTTATTAGATAAGAGATGCAGAAGATGTATGAGATGCAGAAGAGTAGTCTAATTATCTTTTGATTCTTAAAAAAGTAATTTAAGTTGGAATATAATTTTATAAACAATATTTTATATTCAAAAACAAAATATCTCTTCTTCAAAAAAAAAAAAATTTCTTCTTTGAGAAATTAAAACACATAATTTAAAAAAAATTGTATTTAGGTATGTAAATAGATTCCATATATTTATGCAAAGTGTATATAAGATTAAAAGAAGAACAATAGATAAATAAATCTCCTTTACTTGTTAATGTCCTCAATATGTTCTTGATCTCATGAACTTTGATCGCACTTCTATATAACTCAACTTTAACTCTAATTAAAACTAATTATAATATCAATTTCAATGTTATTATACTAAGCTATTATCTATTTATTTAGCTCTCTTTAGCTCTGGGAAAATTTGTACATTCAGTATTACGATGACGTTTACATATAGTAGTAAGGCTATAGCGAATTACCGCGGATGTCACATTGCCATTTTGCTTCCTCGCTGACAGAAACCACCGTCACACCCGGAAATTATGTGGCGTGAATTCAGTGCCTTAACGTTCGACAGCCTGTCTGAGTACATTTTCCGGCGCTACATGTTAGTCGTTGAAGTCTCGCGAAAGCACGACCTCCTTGACGTTTTAAGATCGTATATTATCGCGTTACAGAAGTTGCACACATGACATGTATCAAGTAAATCGTAATCACTAAACGATTTCTTTTTAAATTGACTAATACAATGTAATAATAAAATTGCTAACAATGTTAATACTTAAAGTAGCATTAATTGAGAAAAAAAATTTAGATAAAATTTTTATAAATTAAATAACATAGAAACGACTTGAAAATAATAATATAATGCAGAGAATTGATTCTGTTTCAATATATTAGGTGTTGGAATTAATTCGTAGCGTTTTTTAATGAAAGAATGTTATTTATTTCACATGAGCATTAAAAAATACATTAATGAAAGTACTTCCCATCACTTGTAAAACGCTACGAATTAATTCCAACACCTAATAATAGTATTGACACACAAGATTATCATTAGTATAAATAGTGTTTTACATTGAATACATAACTTGCTACGATTAATATTTACAAATTTATATGCATTGATGTGACATCATTTATTTATGCATATCTTGAGGCATATAAATATATTTATAGGCATATAAATTTATTTTATTATTATATATCACCTTGTAAAGGTGAAAATCGTCTAAATTATCTGAATAAATAATTTTTTATATTCTAGAGTAAAGAATAATAATTTTTTTACGCTGCAAAAAAGATATCATTTTATATATATAATTCGAAAAATATTCATATATGTATAATAAAAGACTGTCATACGCAACTTTAATCTACGTCAGACGCGAGTTGTAGAACTCACCAATAACATTTTTTATTATCACATTCTTTCGTATGTTCTGTACTTTAGCCGATGTGATTAATTACCTATGATTCATTCATCCATTAATCATTCATCTATTAATCAGAAAAGTATCTTAATTTTACTACGACAAAAATATTTCTCTCTAAAATATTTTAATGTATAGAATTATGTAATCCTGAATATGTACTTATATAATTAAGATCTTTATTTCGTATAACGCCATATAATCACACCAAAGGTCAATTAAAATTTAATATGCTAATCAGCAGTATCTTTAAACAATGTAAATGCTATTCTTGGAGTTAATTCGCGTTCATCGCGAACGTATCGGTCGTACACGTACGGTCTCTTTTGCACACATAAATGGAAGTTTGATTCGGTTGATGACACGATGCTATACACGCAACATTTTTTCGTTGGTCATACTTCTTGAACGTTGACGAGTGAGCGATGAGTGTCACATTTGGCGCCGGGGTGACTTGCGGAACAGCGGCGCCGCAACGATGTCGTTCGAAATAAAGAAATAAAAAGCGGAAAGGGGGTGCACGATAAAGCGACGTGCGTGGGCGGCTGAAATGACAGAAGACAAGATGCATCAAAGAGGCCGCGTGCAAGAAGTGGAGAGAGGGATGGAGATGCATTCGATGAAGGTGCTATTGTGGAGCGAATGACAATTCGAATTTCCGTCGTTACATGAGCGGCTTGTGCATTTTTTTTTACAGGCACGCCCGGTTGGCGCCGAAACCATTGATTAAACCCTGGCGCCGACCCATTTTTCCCCTCTCGCGACCTGCTCTCCCTATTTTCCCCAACTTTTCTCTCGATTCTCTCAGACGACATGCACCCCGTATGAGGCAAACTTTTTGGCAACGGAATACACTCGCGTTATTGCCGCACCGATTGAGAATCACTGGGATCACTTGGCTCTCCGGACTAATCCATAAACACCGTTCTCTCGTGCAGCGTCGCAGCATTCTATAGCGTACGAGGGTTTAGAGCCGAAAGTCGACACTCGATAAAATACGAACACAACACACATCGCTCGTGAAACTTTTTTTTCCTGTGATATTGACATTGCGATGCTTCACGCGAGAGTATGACTCGATCAGATTACGATTTGATGGAAATATATTTCCTCTATAGAGACAGCAAGGCAAACCGCACTACGCCAAACGAAATGTAAAAATTATATTATACTGATTGTTTCAATAAATTTTTCTTTATCTTTTTCCTTTGTGTCATTACAATAAATAAATCATTTTATTGTTAATTGTGAGTTCCTCAATCAATAAACATGAAAGAAAATTCAATATGAAAAATTAAATCTAATTCTCAAATATGAATATAATATAATACATTATATATTTAATACATAAATATGCATATAAAATGTATGTTTTTTAATATTGCATGAGAATGTTCTCGGCTACAAAAACGATCTGGCTGTCAAGAGATGAGATTCAAAAAGAATATTAAATACAACAAAGGAAAAAAACATGAAACTCTTTCTATCAAAATAATTGTTAGATTCGCTTATCCTTATTATCTTTTAAACAATTTTGCGATGATTTTTATATAACTCGAATAATTTACAATTCAGCTCAATCTGAAACTAAATTTTTTTTAATTGTATGATATAACATTAAGATATTTTCAAGAAACACAATTTAATATTGCACTTTAAGAAAATTAATTACAATTATCTCATAATATATTTTTCATATATTTGTAATCTACAATTATCTTGAATAATCTTGAATAATTATCTGCTCAAAGACATTTAAACTTCCCGCCCGTCTGTTACTTCCTTTTAAGAGTGGGAATTTCAGTACCAAGAGCTGATAATATATCAATGTTGGCATTTGTCTCTTTTTCTCTAGTTATATTTAAGAGACTACACGAGCTGACATGTATAGTAACTGACAGTGATAATTCAGAAATGGTTCAATAAAATCACGTGTCATAAACGATTAAGTAAGATTGTCTGTTCTAAAATTGAATTTTAAGAAACAAAATTCTTTTAAACTAATAGAGATTTATCTAATTTTTGAATAAACTTTTTACAATGTTTGTGCTAATGTATTTGCCTTAAACAATTAACAATAAACGGATCAAATATTTATAAATTTTGTGGATAATTTAAATATTGTTACGAATGTGATGTTTGCAGTAATAGTTATAAATAATGTTTCTATACATACGCGTCCAACTTGAACATTGAAATATTAACAGTAAATCGTACATAAAATAAGAATTGCAGTGAGTCATAGTAAATTACATACAATTAAAAGGACTGATGTTAGAACAGCTTTTATTAATTATTAATAAATATAAGATTTATTAAATGACATTTAATATTGCGCAAAAAGACAATAAATTTTTGCTTATAATCGTTATATAACGTGTTATCTTTTAAACGTTGATATGTAATCGCTTTGTTATAACATTGAAGCCAAACACTTGATTTTTATCTAAACGATTCGCGGTTGAACGCCAGTTGAAAAATTATAATTAAACTGTTTAAACGATTTTGTAATAAGCATCGTTTTGTAGACAATACATAGTACAAATAAAGGGTGTTTTTTTAAGCCCGATAGAACTTGAAATTGTAAAAAATAAAACAAAAAATTAAATTAAACAGCCGCGGTGGCCATATGCCCGAAATCATTTTCAAATGTTAATGCCATGCATTGATCTTTCGACTAAAAAAAATTTTTTGATTATAATTTAATTTTTGTGTTAGTTTTTACAATTTTAAGTTCTATCGGGCTTAAAAAAACACCCTTTATATTTGGCTGCAGGCTATAATTAGCATACTAGAAAACATCATTGACGTCATCGTCGTCATAAAGAAATCAACAATATATAAGGTATAATTGTGTAAAATTTTCCTTATTCTTATAATGTGAGTCATTCACTACCTATCACAATAGCTAGCACAGTTATACGAGATATCTCGAAGTCAGCTGATATAAAGTAATCAATATCATGATAAAAGAAGATAAGATATTACAGAGCAATAAATAATAATTAAATAAAGAATCTAAAATAAAAAAACACAAAGAATATAAAAAAAGCAGCCAGGTGCATTTAAAGAGAGTACCTTATACACTGAGAAAAAAATGCTGTTGATTCAATTAAATTCTATCTATATTATGGGCTGTCACTAACATAAGTAATTAATTTATGTATATTTTTATTGACAAAGGCCTTTATGTCAAAAATATACATGAATTAATCACTTATGTTAGTGACAATTCGTAATATAGATTTTAATTGAATCAACAGTATTTTTTTCTCAGTATATTTATACCATTATATTTATCCTAAATTACTCGAAAAGTCTATAATATTATAATAAATAATAATTTGTATTGACGTTCTTATCTCTAGTAATCGTTTCTGCACTGAAATTTCATTCAAGAAGTTTTCTTCTAATCTAATTAAGAATTATTTAAGTTCTAATCTGAATATTAACCTCTAAAATTTACCAATTAATCATCATAAACATATCATTGCGCTTTTAAATTTTTTTTCTTTAAGAAAGAAATATATATCTAATTTAATTCTTCTTTTTTCTTTAAGATTTTGCGACGATTGCTACGTCGTCGTGACACAATATAAACATGCAGAATAAATCAAATATTTATACAATAAACGATGCGCCTCCCTCATACGCGGAAGCAACAGGAGCACTTGCATCAGATACACAGAATCCACAATTAGACCAAAGATATCCACATACAACAATTCATCCAGTTCCGTCAGAACCATTTCCGTATCCATATTCGCCGAATTATCAGAATTTGGATAGAATACCTGTTCAATCATCTTATCAATATGAGTCAACGGAACATCAAAATCAATCAACGGAAGTAACTTACAACAGAACTATAATAACAAGAACAAATACAAGAGACTACAAATGTAAGTTAAAATAAATTTCATAAACAAAAAGCAGAAAGCAAAATACACAAGGAAATTAGAAAAAAAGCGCTATTAAAATTCGCTATATTTTTTAAGATGTAATCAAAGAAAGATTTACTTAATTATGAAAGATCAGACAATATATTGTTATAAAATAATCATTATCTTAGCATAAATAACTATATTTCAAATAAAAATATTTGCAACCACATTACAAAATAAATTTATCGTGACAATTATATTATTCACTTATACATTTGTCTGTGTTTAAAAATAATATATTATATATGTGTGTGTACAATACTTTCTTATTTTAACAGTATAATAAATTTTTTTTGTTTGTATCAGCATGCACCAGATTTTTTCGACTGGTATGGATATTAGCTGTATTGGCATCTGTAGGAGCACTTATTAGTTTAATACTTAGAGCTATTCGATAAGTAAGTAAAAAAAGCATAATATATTATTATATTATAATATATTATGAAAATGTATTAAATTATTATATCAACAAATTAATTCGTTTATCGTATAATTGTATAATAGTACAATATATAATAGTATAATTGTACAATATCAATATTAAATCTTGTAATTAATTTTATTTAGTAACTGCGAAGATTATTTTATAATTTTTTCATAATTAAGCACGTCATGAATACACATTAATATAATTTTGAATATTGATTGTAATATAAAATTTTAAACCTAACAGAAAGAGAGAAAAACTTCTGCGTGTGCTTATTTGAGAAACAGTCAATTTTATCATTGCGACTTCTAAATCGTGTAATTGTTAAGGCAAATGAATAATACTCATGAGGAAATACAATTGCGATTATAGAGATGCAATAGACATATATACAAGTGTCTATATGTTAATATTTTTTAACTATTTAAAATATTATTTATTATAAATATGTAGTTAAGTTCAACTTTATTTTGGATGTATTTTATTATTTAAGGTATAACTCCTATATAGTAGATATAAGGTCTAACTCTTTTTTATAAAATTATTATTTAAGTTGTTAAGTTTTATAATTACGATTAAAAAACTGTAATAGAATAAAAAGTTGTTTGCTTTAAGAAAGCAAACGAATTATGAGGTTGATCTGTCTATTTGTTTATAAAAAATAGCATTTAAATTAAAAAAAAATTATTCCTGGATTCGATCCACGCCTAGATATATAGGGGATACATGATCCTCTCATAACATTCCTGTTATTTATCTATTTAAAATCTATTTAAAACAAAAAATACATATGTATTTTTTTGTTTTAGATAATGTTCAGAATATATAAAGTAAAAAAGATATTAAAAGCTCTAATAGATCTCAAAAAATTAAAATAGAATATGAATGTTTAATACTTTAATATTTAAAATTATATATTTTAACTTTTGATTTTACAACATCCTTTAATATTTACATATTGATTATGATTATTGAATATTTTTAATTGCATAAATTAAAACATGATTCTCTTGAATCAATTAAAATATGATTTCAAATTCTGGATCAAATCCCCGAGAATAAAGAATATTTAATATTCCCTATTCTTATTGTTTCACTAAAATAGAAATTATTTCATTATTAATATTATTAAGAATTATTATTACTTTTTAATTTGATCGATGCAGTTAGATATACTATTAAAATATCTGCAATATAGCATAAGAACAATTTTTTTTTATTATTAAAAATATATTTTATAGAAGAAGATCAAGTGTCCCTAGTTTCCTCTATGCAATCAAATATTAAAATATTTACAGTAAGTCATGTAAAGAAACATATTGTAGTTGCAATAGTGAGTCACAACATCATCAACTGTATGATTAAAAACATCGACATTACAATAGCATTTACGAATTATTTGCAACATTAATGAACATAACATTTATTAAATGCCATTTATTACTGCGTAACAAAAACAGTTTTTGACTCATAATAACATATAGAAATTCTATAATAAGAGTGTGATCAAAGCGGATCAATCTTCTGATTAGTCCTTCATTTGTAATTCATTTAGTGTGCTTCAGATAATTTTGTATTATACATTTACGGAAATGAGAGAAAGAGAAAAAGAAAAAGACAACTATAAGATAAATGATTGTCAGTAATATCATCAACTCATTGTTTTTCTTTGCGCATGCGTATATAGATTATCTTTTTCTACCCATTATTTTTTTATCTTTGGCTACACTTATTATGAAATCTCTAACGAAATGTTATCTTTAAAACGTTGATATATAATCACATTATTATAATATCAAGCTTACGCAAGCATTTAACTTTTATTCAGACGAGAGAATCGTAGTTAAATTCCAGTTAAAAATATATATATTACAATTTAACTTTAAAACATATTTGTAGTAATCAATATAGTTTTATAAACAATACACGATGTATATCTGACTGCAGACTACAATTAACATTAGAAAGCATCATTGACGACATCGTCACAAAGAAGTCAACAGTATATCAGGTATAGTTACAAAATTTTCCTTAATTTTACAAGTCATTCATTATCTATTTGTCACAATAGAATAATATATATGAGATATCTCCGAAATAGTTGATACAAAAAAATCATCAAGATAAAATAAATGAAATCTGGAATAAATATAAATAAAGTAGATAAAAAATTTATAAAAAGTAACTGATATAATACTCTAGAATACCATTAAACTCCAATTATTAGAAAATAAAACAAAATTAAAGATTTATATTGACATTCCTATCAGCTGTCATTTCTATATTAAACTTTTATCTATATTTTTATCTTGTTATAAAAAGACTTGATTCTCATTTAATTAAGAATTAGCTTTAATTTATAAATGTCTCTTATTAAAAATAGAACTTATGCTGTCGATAAAAATTTATTGTAGTACTATCGAAAATACGTTATTCTTCATGTATATTTCATGTATATCAAAATATACATGTTATTATTCATGTATATTTTTGAAAAATGAAGAGTAAATCTATAAAAATAGCATACATTTATACATTATAATAAACTTGAATAATTTTTTGTGAATCATTGATGCAACATGGAAGATTCATTTTTATGTCAATGCTGTTCTTTATGTTCACATCATAGACTCGAGGCACGTGTAATTCATTATAAGAACTGCTTCTGACCGACGATAAACAGGAAGAAATAAAATATTAGCTAAAAATAGTTTAATACCTTTTTTCTATAAATATAATTTATATTTTTTATGCAAATCTATAGATCTATATCTATAAATGACATGAATTTCAAAATTGTATCTGCACACAGGAGATATAATAAAAAATGTTGAATTTATTAAAATACATACATGACATTATTACATAGAATACTTTAGATGGTTTTTTTTATAATGATGTTAAATATATTCTTTAATTAAAGTTGCGAGGCAGAAATTATCACAGTTTTCAATGATAATTTTATATTTAATAAGAATGCAAATAAAATAAGATTCTTGATAATAATGGATGAATTAAGTCACAAAAGATTTTTAATAGAGATAAGTGGAATAACCTTCTTGAGCTTAATATATGTCAAGGTCAAAACTCTAAATAGCATTCACAAGATTTATTGAGTCCGAAAATTAGAATAATGTTAATGCAGGTGATACTTTGTCAACACACACCTCGAAAAGGAGCTGTCACACCTGAAATTTTGATGAAGGAATTTTGTTAAAATGTTTTGAAAAAATCTTGATGTCAGTTACAAGAATATAAATAAAAAGTGGAAGTTTTCATAAAAAAAGTTTAAAGTTGACTTTGTGAGATTCTTTATACGGATGGAGTTCCGAAAGGATGAACCTCTGATTTTCTTGTCGATTGATATATTACTGTATTTTGGTGTGCTAATTACAAATATGATAATGAAAATTACAAGGTCATTTTGACAGTCATTTACTGCGCAATCTGGCTAAGCGTCACTACTCAGCATGCATGCTCATCAGTACGTGTTGTCGAAAGATGGATAGGACGTACAATTTCTTTACTTTTCACCCGAAGCGACTCCCACCCTATTTCCCTCTCCCCCTGCTTAGGGGCACACGTGAAACACGCAAAAAATGTTTAAAAAATTGTTTTTTTAAATATTTGACTTTGAAAATGACCTTGTCGGTAATTTTCATTATCATATTCGTAATCAGGGCATCAAAATACAGTAACATGTCAAGCATAAGAAAATCGGGGGGTTCACCTTTTTGGAACTCTATCTTTATACTTGTATTCATGATTAAACAGGTGTTACTCTTGAATGCATTTATTGAACCCCTACAACTTTAGTATAAAACATTTTTTTTCTCCAAATATCTTGTTTTCGAAATATATTTCATTATTCTAATAATTTGTTTCTTTAAGAAAAATTATACATCTTATTTAATTCTTCTTCCATTCTTTTTCAGATTTTGCGACAATTGCTATGAAGCCGTGACACAATATAAATATGCAGAATAAATCAAATATTTATACAATAAACAATGTTGCGCCACCTTCATACGCAGAGGCAACAGGAGTATCTGCATTAGAGACACACAATCCACAATTTGACCAAAGATATCCACATATGGTAGTCTATTCACCATCAACGTCGTTTCCGTATTCGTACTCGCCGAATTGTTATCTGGATAGAACACCTGTTCAATCAACTCATCCACAATATGATTTGCCGGAATGGCAAAGGCAACCAACTAGCACAAGTTACAACAGAACATTAATAACAAAAACTGAATATGAAAAACGTAAGTCAAAATTAATGTCATAAGCAACGATGGAAAACAAAGTACACTGTAAAAATCAGAAAAGAGAGAAAAAGATAAAAATTTGCTGTGCTATTTTAAAAAAAGTAATCAAAGAAAGATTTATTTAATTGTAAAATATTAGAAAATAGTAAAATGATTATTAGCTTGGCATAACTATACCAGGTAGAAATGGAATATTAACTTTGTTACAATTTAAATTTATCGTGACGATTATACATATAATCCACTCACATATATGAAATATTTTTGTGTTTAGAAGTTTATAATCTATATGTGCATGCGCATAATTCAGTTCTCTCCTTTTAATATTATAATTAGTTTTTATTTGTTTTAGATTGCAGGAAACTTATTGCAGTGCTTATAGTATCAATATGTGTTATCACATTTATAGGGATTGTTTATATAGGTATATATAATAGGTATATTTAAATGGGAAAGATATTTTGTTTAATAACTCATTACCTTTCCGTTACTTAAAAAGTAATAATTCATTACATTTCCATTATTTTTTTAATATTAAAACAAAATCAGTCTTTTTATAGAAGCTATGCGAATTATTTTCGTATTCCATAACGAGAATGCCAATGTTTCATGAACATTGCAATTCACTTCATCAGAGCAAGAGGCAATCTAATACTGACTTTACTTTTATAATATTTTTTGTTAAAATATTAATAAAAACTCAAGTATGATGATTTGTTTCAAAAGCTTCGACATTTGAATTTCGGGGATTCAAAGCTTCAATATTAAAATCTTTAAAGATTACAATTTCAAAGCTTCGAAAATTCAAAACTTCGATACTTCAATCTTTGAAGCTTCGAAGAATTAAAATTATACAATTATTAATTTAACATAGCTATTAGTAACATATTTTAATTTTCTTTACAAATATTAAAAAATTTTGACATAATAAAATTTTTATCTCAAATTTGTATAAAATATATGCGGCAGCTTTATGAATGATAAGTGATATCTTAAAACTATCTATACTCATTAATCCCAGAAAACCTCTATATATTTCATTTCTTAAATTCCTGTAATTCCAATTCTAATTAAAATTTTTAGGACGCAATTGATATTTAAGAATAAAAGGAATTGTCCTTTTCAGAAATATATGACCTATCTTTACATAACCTAGTTTATCATATAAATTTTCTTTAATTTAAATGAGGGAAATTTTTCAATTGCAAAAAAAAACTGATAATACTTTTGTAATAAAAAAAACTAGCATCCTTTAATATATATGCATCTTTATGCATGCCAATCATGACTTATATATCGTGAAGTACTTCTGTCAACAATTGCTATAGTCGTTATGCAAGAACTTGCTATAAAATGGGTCATTGCCACCCATAAACCAACGGAATGATAAGAATCGCCCTTCCACGCGTCACAGTTCCTTCATTTTCCTTCGTTTCGCATAAAAGAACCCATGACGCGTATTCACGGCACCGTTACACGTAAAGTAACATAGTAATGAGAAAGAAGAGAAAGAGGAGGAATGTGAAAGTTGAAACGTTAATGACCTTTTATAATACAAAATCGCGGTATGACATAATCCCATGTTGCACGTGTAGTCTCATATGTGTTCCAACGCGAGCATTAAAGACATCGGTCGACGTGGGCGGAAGTCCTGCAGTATAAGTAACGACCATATTTCGCAGCTATAACAAAACGTCACATACACGTTGGGGACAAGGGAGGAAGGTGGAAAGACCAGCGGGAGGGCCGCTTTTATTATTGGCGCAATAAAACCCCGGTAACTGAGTAATAATTTAAAAGTTGAGCGCCGTTCAGCTCAAGCACCTTCGGCGCCGCGCCGCGCCGCTTCGAGATGAGAGCCTGCGATCGACGGTGCAACGTGACGATATTCGCGCCAATAAGTGCAACCGACGAAATTTGCGAATATTCCAAGCTACACAATCTGTAGCTGTGACGGTGTTGGTTTTATTGTAGTCTGTCGTATATATCGTCAGCTTTACTATTTTAAAATCATATTGGACAAGTATAGAAGAGTCGCTATAAGCTGGCTGAAATATAAATATAAAAAGGCGAAAGGGAGGAAATTGAATAATTTAACGATATTGATTGTATAAATGATTGTCACGTTTGATTATGTCCAATCTGCACTAAATTAAATTAGACAAATTAACTTTTGAAATTTATCGTAGTTTCAACACAACAAAAATTTAATTTTTCTTGTAAACTGATGTATAATAATACATTTAGTAAGTATAATTTTCGACATTGTAAGTAATGTGTCTCTATATTAATAATAAAGAAAATTTATTGTGTGAAGTGTACAAGAGAAATTTATATAGAAGTTATTTTTATATATCAGAAATAAGCATTACACATTTAAAATAAATATACGTATAAAATATATAGTAGAATAAAATTTTCAATTCAGTTGGCAGCTACGTAAATTTGTAGGAAAAATTATTTAATAATTCATTCATGAAATGTATAAAATTTCACATATGACATACCATTTAATATAATTCGTTACAGCGAGAGTAAATTTTGCAAACTATTCATTTCATATCCATCAAAAATTATATGTGACGTAATTAATTTGTACGGCGACGTGAATTGCAGAATGAGGCTTGTCGAAAGCTCATCGCGCTCTTCGCTCGTTGACGGGGAATTTACGAGGCAGCTTTTGTGCGATTCCGACGAAAATCGATCAGAAAAACTTGAATAAGTGTGAAGGACGCATTGTCGGACGGGCGAAGAATACGGGAATTGTCGTTAGCCTCCCTTCGGTGACACGTCTGAGTTGTGGAGCGAAGAGATGGGGACTAGAGATATACGGTCGGACGTTGAGAGTGTAACAAGGTTTTCCGTTATCGAGTCTAAGATATCTCTAAAAAACGAGCGCCGATCACGATGCATCTCCACGTTACTATCGGGAATCGGGAAAGGGGGGAGGGAATGGTTGGGGAATGCGAGGAAAATGCGGTTCCGCTCGCGCTTCGCGTGTAAAATAGATCTTCCTAGCGAAACCGCCGCGTTGCTGGAATTCGATATCGCTTGTATACATTGCACTTCGCATCCCGTTGTGAACGTAAAACGAATTAAATATTTTCTCGCAGCGGACGGCCCAGAGAAATCCAATGTAACGACGGACGGCGCCGCGCATATCCGCGGATTTTGTTCGCGAATTAAAATTAATAGAACGCCTATATTGGGACGGAATGATTGCACGTTCGCATGTGCATTTATTCTGGTTGCTATATGTACGCGCGTTACATAGCTCGAGATTATCGTTACGATCGATCGAACCGATACCTGAACGAATACATGAGAGGATTTCAAATGACTGTTGGAAAAGTAGGTTTTTCCTGGCTCCATGCAGGACTTTCAAGCTCGCTGCGGCAAGATGTGGGCTCACGTGGGCTTAACGTTTTTATCGTACCTTTTTCCGATAATTAATGTTCGTCCCTTCGCGTCTGCAAAGCGAACGAAAGGGACAAACGCGAAAGAGAGAGGCAGATCAGATTAATGATTGTTTTACTCGCTCGTCATTATGTGAAAGGCGACGCCGGTTATCGCCGAGCGAGATAGCGGAAGGAAGAACAGGACAGAGAAAGTGGAAAGGACGTGGAACGTGTCAGGCGAGAAATCAAAGAGTGTCGTGCGCCATTCTAACCCTGAGGGAGGAAAAAAAGGAAAAAAATCAGAATGGAATCGGTGGATGGGGTGACGCTTTCATTTTACACGAATTATTTTCTGGACTTTTACAATGAGAAAAATATGAGCTGCATTAAAACGGTCCTCGAAAGAATCTTCATGATTGAATTTCGATGCGTGGTACCTTTTAGTATGTATAATGTTACAATATCTATATAAAATTCTATTCTTTACTATATATATGTTTACATATAAAATATAAGTCTTGTTATTTGCAATCAATAATTGTTTTATAATTAATAGTTAAAATAACACTAATCAACATATAATTTTATATTTGATAAAGTTTAAACAATAAATTCTTTCCTATCTCTGTCATTCTGAAAATATTTCTATTGTTTCAAGATTCAAACAGTAACAAGATGTATATAAATATCTCAAGAATTACAGTCATACAGATACACACACCGTGTGTATTAAAATTTCGATTTTTCGAATTTTTTTTTGATTAATGATTTCGATATAATTATTTGAATGTTCCATGAGCGACATTTTTTATAAATTTATTACAACTTACAAGCATCAATAACTTTACAAAAAAATCTCACATTTTTCTCACAAAACATGTGTCTCATTGTTATCTGTAGAATATGTTAGCAAATTAAAAAAAAAATGACGATGTTTCAAAGATTTGACGTACAATAGATTGTAAGTATATACTAATAAAATCATTTTAAGGAGAAAATGTAAAATATTAAATTACTTTTAATGGTACAAATTAGTATAAATTCAGTTGTGTTAATTTTTATCCTTGTTTTTTTCTCTTTTTTTCTTTTTTTTACAATAACGTTGATAGTTTAATATTTAAGCTGGCAGGACCAGCTTAATATTAAGCCAGCGCCATGATTTTTTCGAAATGGTACAAAATTATCATTAATGGTTCAATTTAGTACAAAATATATTAAAAATTTCGATAGGTCCGATTTGATTCTGTTGATTTGATCTTATTAGATTTATAGAGCTAATTGATAGATAACTATACAATAGATTCGCCAGAAATATTCTCAATTATTGAGAAAGTCATTGGAAAAGCCTAGTTCTCTGCAGTCCGAAAACAAAGAGAATGAAAGTATAGGACATAGAAGAGATAACAGAATCGAAAGAGAGAAAGATTACGTGACAGGTCAGTTTGAATCTCGAACGGGCTTATTTGGTTGGAATCTGACACCGAATTTAATCAGAAGGTCACGATCGAGTCAATATTTGTTCCAATTTGCTATCGTCCTTTCCGTGTGATTAGATATCGAAAGGTTTTATAAGTCGTAAAGAAAGAATGTTGTCTTCTCTTTATTTGAAATATTTTCCAAATACGAGTGTCGCCAAAAAAATGAGCGACAAAATGATTTTATTGCAAATTCTTAAAAATATTATAAACCGATATTTACAAAAAGAATTAATTTATTTATAAGCAAATAACTCATTTAAAATAAGATTTTTTTGTTACTGATATTAATTACTATATTATTTTTCTGTAAAACACTTTCTTATTTGCATAGTTATTTTATGTAAATCAAATATGTAAATATAATAATATTCTAAAATTATAAAAAGTAGAAAAAGATCTATAAGCAGATCAAACATTAAACTCAAAATAAAAAATTGAAAAATAATCATTCAAATGTTTTATCATGTTTTAAATAAAGAAATTTACAGGTCGAAAAAATCAATAAATATCTTTCAAAATAGTATGTAATATACTTCATTGTTTTAAATCGCTCAAATTGATTATATGAGGTATAAACTTCCATTGTACAAATGAAAAAGTCAAAATTCCTTTGCAATGAACATTTTACTAAAATTTATAGGTTCTCAGTAAATATATTAAAACTTGCTCTCTCTTGTGTTAAAGTGTTAATTCAACGTGCATATTTTACTACAAATGTCGGTGTTTGGAAGTTGCTGCAACAAACAAAATGGACCGCATCAGAAAATTATGTATTCGAGGGTGCGACACAATGGCGAACGAAAGTGACCACCACGTCATAACCTAGGAAAGCCTTAATCCAACATAAACCGATATAAACTTCAAAACTTATATACCGCTGTAACGGCGTGGCACGTTTGTGCGGCCTCTCGAAATGGAAGTGGCGCGGTCGCTGCGAGTGCTAAAAGGGGTTGAACGGACGTGAGAAGTTGGTGGATGCGGTCGTTGGAGGGCGGCAAAGACCAGGTTTGGGTTGGGTTTGGCAAAACGTGCCCGCTCGTCCAAGTCGCCGCGATCGTTTCTTTTCTTCTTGCCTAGCCACATTTACGCTCTCCTAGCCCTTCAACTCTCGCTTCGACTCCCGTCTTCTTTCCACCGCGTTTTTCTTTCTTGTCATCCCTCTTACCCGACCGACAGCACATCGTCGTGACAACCGGAAGTTGAAGAAGCTGTTCCCGATCGATACCTGGCGCTGTTTAGCTCGCCTCTCGCACCACGAAGGAAAAAAAGGAAGGACATCTTTCGCGGTGAGGAACAGGCGACGACGGCAACCACGGTACGACGCGGCGCGACGTTCCAAATTGAGAGCGATAACGATAACACGGCAGGACGGTTTAAAATCGAGGACGGCCGAGCGCGAAGGAACCGTCTCGAATCTTTGCGGTTTGCGCTTATCCGAGGAGACGTGCATCGAAAGAGGTCGACGAAGAAACGCATTTCTATCGGCTATGTGACGTGGCGTATTTCTTCTT